TTTTTTTTTTTGGTAAAAGAGACACTAATATTTGCATGTGCCTTGGATTCATTAAGTATCGTTTTCATACTAGGCTATTCAAAAATCCTCAAAGTTCCATCTTGTACTGCATCAAAACAAAAATGAAGAAGAACCACTAAAAATTCCTTCTCCTTTATAAAAAAATAAATTGAATCTAAAGAGCTTAATTCTTACCTCCCCACTAGCAGATTACAATGACGTTACGTATCCCGTGTCCCCCAGCTCCACCTCTGCCTGCCAACACGATGCAGCTCCAGGAGGTCCACGTCGAAGACTCGCAGCCGTCTTCGGAATTCTCCTTATTCTTATCGATTTTTGATCTAACGGTTTCTTCATGTCTGCTACGAAGATCAGGAAGTCGTAAGTCTGTGTATTCGCCATTTATCCTCCCCTCCGTGTCTCCTTCTTCTTTGCTGCCGTCGCGTTGCGTCGAAGAGATCGAGAAGAGGAATAGTCTTGTGTCGCGTGAGAGAGAGAGGATGTTCTGATTTTTTTTCTTTTTTTTCCTGTTTGTTTAGTTAATTTTAAAACAAGGGTATTATAGAAATTTTGTCCATTAATGAATGTCATTTTTGTGACTTTTTCCTTGTGGTGCTCTTTTGGGGACAAAAACTTCAAATGGTCTATTATGGTCAATTGCCCTTTTGATTTCCTCTCATTTATATCATTCTTTAATGCAAGATTTTTTTCTAGCGAAATTATAGTCTGTTGTTTCCGAAAATGACAGTTTACCCTATTTGTAATTTTACATTATTTCATTTTTATCATTTTGAAAGACCAATAAATCTTATGTTATAGTTATGTACTAATGTATTTTGTAATTTTCTTATTGACATTTTATACCTTTATGAAACAGAGAGTATTTGATTAGTTTATTTGACATTCAGACTTAAGTTAGTTTTGAAGTTATGTAAACAAGACAAATTGTCCAATCTAATTCAGTTTTGCAATCATTGAATATTAATTTGTACTTCTGATGGTTTTGTTCTGTGTGTTATTTGGGATGATGAACATTGTTTGATCTTGTTCTTGTTCAAATTATTATTATTTTTTTCTTTGCAGAACCGGAGATGGAGACTCAACCAAAAGATCAAGCACAAAACCCCCCTCAGAAACCAGCGATGGCTTCATGTAGGAGGAAGGCAGAGGAGGATGCAACTTTCTTTGAGGACGTGAAAGATGAGTTCATTCATGCCTCCAAGAATGTACACAAGACCTGTTTCTAGCATAATCATTACGAACCAATATTCCAATATTCGACATAAATAGTTTTGTAAAACAAAGAAACAAACATCCAATAGTGTCTATATATAGTCTTTGGTCTTAATCAGACCAAACCAAAAGAAGTGATGATGATAGCATCTGTATAACCAAAGCAAAGGCAAAGGTTACTGTTCTCGTTGGAATGTGTGTCATCAAAACGACACAGCTAGAGATCGTACAATGGAAATTGTATCTTCGGAAGCAAGCATGAGACTAGACCACAAGATCTTCCCCCAAACCTCTCCTCCTTCCTTCCTTTCCAACTCAATCTCCGTACACCAAATCTCCGTCGACCAATCTCCACGTCTACACAAAAACACAAGCCTCCCACCATAATTCACCAATTTAGACCCACCACGCATACCAGGAATATCTCCAACACCCTTCACTTCACTCCAAACCCTCGCGACAGGATCAAACTCCCACATCTTATACCTATAATCCCGACCAAAACTGTACAACTTGTTGTCGATAACGCAAGAACTCACACTCCAATCTCTGTTCAACAACACGTCCTTCTCTAAACTCCCTTCTCTAGGACCGTAAACAAAGCTATTATTTCGATCCATCAAGTACATCTTCTCATCCACCACGAAACTCCTAATCATCTTCTTACACACCTTCACGTCATCAGGCCCCGACGACGTCGTCACCGTCTCCCAAGTTTCAGTCTTTAGATCAAAAGCCTCCACCCAGTTCGGAGAGCGACGGTCACACCCTCCTATCACGTACAACTTTCCTTGGACGATTCCCGCGGCGGCGCAGCCGCGTTTTTGCTTCATGTTAGGGAGGTACCGACACGTGTAGGACGGACACTCGATGACAAACGCAGTGGAGACGAACCTGTCGTTAACACATCCACCGATGACGTAAATCTCCGAACCGAAAGCGACCATGGACGTTTCCCACGAAGGAACGAAAGGGAATGTTGTCGGGACAGGAACCAAACAATGGGACAGTGATACTTGTCCGAAAGGTTTGAGATTGAGAGTGTACCAACGAGGGGGGTCGAGAGATTTGAGACTAAGAGAAACGTAAAGGACATTTTCGGTGCGGCGAAGTAGTGATCTTTCGGCGTAAATCTGCGGAGAAGCGATGAGACGTCTCAAGGCTGGGGAGACCATTGAGACCGAAGGGTGGTAACATCGCGGCACGCGTGCTAAGCAGTTCACAGAGAGTTCGTTTGGAAGTTGTAACAGCGACGATTGGGCGGCATGGAGTTTCTTCTTCTGTGGCGGTTCTTCGGGGTCGTTAGAGACGGAGGAAGTTGTACCCTTTGAATGATGCATAACCGCCGTCGCTGTTAAAGATTTCAACCGCGAAAGAAGTGAGGAGGGAGTGGCTCGTATTTATAGATTTAAATCTTTTAAATGGGTTTTGGCCCATAACGTTTAAAGAAGGCCTTAATTACTAAATTTTGATTTCCTCTATTTTCTATAATCCAGGATTTTTTTAGCAAAATCGTATTATAAGAATATTATTTTCTATTTATAATGTAAATTTACATATTTATTTATTTTTACCATTTTGAATAACTAAAAAAATTTTATTCAAGTTATTTTCATTTCATTAATTATACTTTAAATAAGGATACATTAGCTAGAATAATTTCAAAAAATTTCATTCACGTAAAATATATATGCTAAAATGACATTTATAAAACAGAGAAAGTATTGATTAATTTTGTTTTTTTTTTATTGAAAAAAGTTAAATTCAGATCTATTAAAGATACATATCTAATTTTTATTGCGCTCATTTTTTTTGGATTAATTTAAGTGAGGTTTTGCAGTTATGTAAACATGACAAATGGTCCAATCTAATTCAATTGTGCAATCATTGAATATCAATTTGTACTTCAGATAGTTTGAAGCTATGATCAGAATTATTGTCACATGTAAAATATAGTACCAAACCATGACTGATGTTAACGTGTCAATTATCAAATGTGTATGTTCAATCGTAGAATGTCAATCAAATGGTTGCATTGCAACGCTTGGGTTTGACTTTTGTAGGTGAAAATGCTGACTAGTACTATGAAACTTGAACGTAGACTTTTTTTCTTGATTATCACGAATGCCTAACTCTTCGACACGAGGAAAAAATTGCAATTAAAGTATATATAGAATCAAATCAATTATTTTTCTTAGTTACTCGGAATTCCATCATTGAATTTTAACATTACTAAAAAAATATGGATAACATTTAAAATATTATAAAAGTGATATATATTGAGAGTTCGTTAAGCTGTCTTGGCGGGATCGTTGAGAGTCAAAACTCATCAAGACGATGTCGTATCCTAAATCTAACCATAAATCTTGGGAACGTGCCAGCGCGTATGTAACAAAAAATCCCATCTCTCACTTCTTACACTCTTTGTTGTCTGAACCGGCCGTTGTTCTTGACCAGTAAAATGAAGCTTTCTCTGTCCTGAACAGTTCCGTAACAAACTTACAATATTAAAAAAAAAATATTCAAGTTGGTTTCGTATTTTTTAAAAAGACTTTACATCTTTCTCTCTCTAAATCTAGAAAAAACAAAAAAGAGATGGAAGAGTTAGAGAGAGAAGAAAATGATTGGTAACCAACAATGGGTTTTTGATTCTGTAAGTGCAAAGAACAACATTAAAGTCGCACACAGAGGGTACAGAGAGAAAAGAAGAACCTTTTTTAACCTTTGTTGGGTAAGAATCATATAGAACGTCACCAAAAAAGAAAGTTTCCTTTTTCATTTTGATTCTGAGTAAATGTCTTCTCCATAAATTCCAAAAGATTCTTTCCAAATTGAATCTTTAGGCCTTTGAAGGTTTTAAGTGTGTGTGTTTAGACTTTCTGAGAAACAAAAGATGGATCACAAGAAGACAATCTTTCTTCTCTTCTTCTTCTTGTTCTTGTTAAAGTCAACGCTCCAGCAACAGAAAAATTCTTCACCGGTTGAGAAAAGAGCTCTTTTATTACTAAGGTCTTCACTTGGGATAAAAGGCAGAGATTGGCCTGTAAAAGGCGATCCTTGTCTGAACTGGAACGGCGTGAGATGTGACGACAACGGTAGTGTAACACACATCAACATTTCAGGGTTCAAAAGAACAAGAGCTGGTCATCTAAACCCTCAATTCAAAGTTGATCCTCTCCTCAATCTCACCCGTTTAGCCTCTTTCAACGCTTCAAAGTTCACTCTTCCAGGTCCAATCCCTTCTTTTTTAGGATCCACCCTGTTGACTTTGCAGGTCTTAGACCTCAGCTCCTGTTCCATCACAGGACCCATCCCTGCAAATTTGAGTGGACGTGGCCTCACGGTTCTTGATCTTTCAAACAACTCAATCCAAGGCAACATCCCTCTCTCTCTTACATCTCTTCAGAGCCTAACGTTCCTTGATCTCTCCTCAAACTCTGTAGACGGTTTGGTTCCTTCTAGTATTGGTTCCCTCACAAAGCTCACACATCTGAATCTTTCACACAACGCCTTGTCTTCCTCCATACCTCCATCACTTGGAGATATCTCTCCTTTACTTCACCTTGATCTCAGCTTCAACGACCTCTCTGGTTCAGTTCCATCAGAACTCAAAGAGCTGAGAAACTTGAAGACACTTGTCATCGCTAGAAACCGCCTCTCAGGTTCTATACCTCCTGATTTGTTTACTTTCATGAGTCAACTACACACCGTTGACTTCAGAGCCAGTGGCTTCACAGGCGTTTTACCTTCTGCCTTATGGTCGTTACCAGAGTTAAAGATTCTTGATCTCTCTGGAAATAGATTCTCCGACAAGCTCCCTAACACCACTGTCAACTTTGGTTCTACTGTCTCGTTGCTAAACATATCAGACAACATGTTTTACGGTAATCTCACACTTATACTAAGAAGGTTCAGAGTTGTTGATCTGTCAAGAAACTACTTCCAAGGTAAGGTTCCTGATTTTGTCCCCATCAACGCTTCCTTGAGCAGCAACTGTCTCCAGGGGACAATGATGCAACGAGAATTGTCGAAATGCTCATTGTTTTACTCTGTAAAGGGATTAATTTTCGATGGTTTCGGACAAGAACCGGAACAGGAAAACAAGCCTAAGTCTAACTCTCCATGGTTAAGACACAGGACTATTGTTATAATTGCTGTGGTTGTGGGGTCTATTCTGGTTATGTTCATTCTCATACTGTTACCAATAACAGTGAACTTCTGTGTCCGGAGAAAAAACAGATCATCAACTAGTAGTGGTAGTCCACGTCATAGAGGGAGACATAACGGTGTTGGTCCATTGCCTCCTGAGGAAACACTTCCCTGTGAAAGAGGAAGAGGAAGAGGAGGAGTCTCTGTGAACTATGCAAGCCTTGGAATGTCGTTTACTTACCAACAGCTACTCAACGCCACGAAGGAGTTTGGAGATGCGAACTTGATCAAGAAAGGAAGATCAGGAGATCTTTTCAAGGGAGTTTTAGAGAATGGAGTTCAGGTTGTTGTGAAAAGAATCAACTTGGAGTTGGTGAAAAGCAACGAAACGTACCAAACCGAGTTGGATTTCTTCAGCCGGTTTGCTCATCCGAGAATAGTCCCGTTTGTAGGCAAATGCGTAGAGCACACACCACACAAGTTGTTGGTGTATAAGTACATGATGTATAGGGATTTACCAAGCTCATTGTTCTACAAATCAAGCTCCCTTGTTGACGATGGGTTGAAGTCTCTGGATTGGATCACCAGGTTGAAGATTGCGTTGGGAGCAGCAGAGGGGCTTTCTTATCTGCACCATGACTGTTCACCACCTATAGTCCACAGGTATCAAAACATCATTTTCCTTTTTACAGTTTCTAACATTTAAACCAAAAAACTACATAGTGATGCTGATTTTTTTCTTTAATGTTAATTGTCTCTTTAAAGAGATGTTCAAGCAAGCAGCATTCTCCTGGATGATAAGTTTGAAGTAAGGCTTGGAAGCTTTAGCAAAGCTTGTCATCAAGAAAACAATGGCCGTCCGAAGAAAATCGCCCGCTTGCTCAGCAGATTATCCCAGTAAGTGTCTCCGGTTCAAACATTTAGCCAGATTAGATTAAACATCTAAGCAATGTTCAAGAAATCACTAAATGTTAATTTAGCTCTTTATAGAAGATTATTGTTTAGGCGGGAATCTACATGTGATTTTTTCGTTCTAGAAAAATAGTTTCTTTTAAATCTGATTTACCGCCTAGGCATCTAGCTAAACCGGTTTTTAGAACACTACTTCTGACATAAGTTTCTTTGTCTCTCTTGAGATTAGATTAAACATCTAAGCAATGTTCAAGAAATCACTAAATGTTAATTTAGCTCTTTATAGAGGATTATTGTTTAGGCGGGAACCTACACATGGTTTTTTACTTTTTAAAAATCGTTCTAGAAAAATAGTTTCGTTTAGATCTGATTTGCCACCTAGGCGTCTGGCTAGACCTGTTTTTAAAGCACTGATCCTAACAGAAGTTTCTTTGTTCTCTCTTCAGGTCCTCTCAAGAAAGTTTTCCTGGTGAGTTCATTTTCAAAATGTTACTATTTAAATTCTTAATTATTAACGTTCTAACAATCTCTCCCACCAAAAATTTCAGACTCTCCAGCAACAGCAACATGTGCATACGACGTCTACTGCTTCGGAAAAATCCTCCTCGAACTAATCACAGGAAAAATCGGAATCAGCTCATGCGAAGAGCCACAATTCAAAAGAATCCTAGCCGAGATAATACCTCACATCTCATCACAAGAGAAAGAGCCAGTCACAAACATTCTAGACCAATCCCTCCTCGTCGACGAAGACCTCTTAGAAGAAGTATGGGCAATGGCGATCGTTGCAAGATCATGTCTCAACCCCAAACCTACGAGAAGACCACTGATGAGACACGTGGTCCAGGCCTTGGAGAATCCAGTGAGAGTTGTGAGGGAAGACAGCAGCGAGTCGGAGAGGTTCCGTACGATAGGGTCTTCGAGAGGCTCGTCGAGTAGCGGGAGAGTGTTTGGTAGTTGGAGACAGAGCGTTTCTGATCCTGTGGCGGCGGGAACGAGTAGTCTTCTGTCTCAGGCAGAGGGTTTGCCGAGATCGAGCGGGTTGACGGGGTCGTCTGCGAGGGGAAGTAGCCGTGGCGCGTCGAGTCGACGAAGTAATATGAAAGATGTATAGCTTAAAACGAACACACACAATAATTCTTTTTTCACATTTTGTATTTTATTTCTTTTGTGGTTATGATTTGTTATCTTGTTGATAAAATTCCCAGAAATTATAAATCTTTCAAATGATCTAAACCCGACCAGTTCTGATTGGTTGGGTATACTAATGATGAATAAATGAACATCATTTTTTTGATATTCGAATCAAAGTTATATGTTTAAACATACTATTAACTTTTTATTGAATATGTAGAAAGTAGCTAAAATAAATGAAAAAAATGTAAAGTTATTGAAAATAATCAAAATAGTTATTCTGAAATAGTAAAAAAAAAAACTCAAAACACCAGAATTATATAGTTGTTATCTAAATCAAACCAATTTTATATTAATTTTAAGTATTTGATTTAATGCTATTCAAAATTATATATATTCTTTTGGAGATTTTGATAAATTTAACTTACTAAATTTTCTTAATTTTAATGTGTATACGGATCCACAATAACTTGAACTGAAGTCAAATGAGACGATTTTAACATTTAGCTGACAATTCGAATAGATCCAAACCAAACTAGAACACATCCATTCTTACCAATCTTTTGAAGTCAAATGAGACGATTTTAACATTTAGCTGACAATTCGAATGGATCCAAACCGAACTAGAACACATCCATTCTTACCAATAAGTAATAATCTTTGGAAGTGTGGGATTTGTGTCAATTTGTTTAGTGTCGGGTAAAGCTGTAAATTGCAATACCTTTGGGGCAATATCTTAAAAATAAAAGTCTTATAGGCCATTGATAGTGAGGCTTATTGGGCTACTTTTCATGATAAAGCTGTTTTGGGCCGTAGGGTTTAGTGTTAAGTCATTGCGTTTCATTGCGTTTCCTGCTCCTCTCTCCTTGAGATTCATTCAGAGATGGCATCGCTGTGCAGATCAGCGCTCATGAGTGGTTCCAGAAACTTAGTATCCAGATCAAGAACCGTAACTCAGAAGTATCTCAATCTTAAACCAACAACGACGACTTCAGCTCCTTTTGGTTCAGTCTCCCAATCCATCCCTCGCGCTTCAAGGTGAGAGCACACTCAATTTAGAGAATACCCCCAACACATTTTTTTTTTTTTTTGTGGGGTTGTGTTTGAATAAGAAACTTTTGTCAATGCAAAAATTTTGAAGGGTTCTGTCTGCTTTGGGAAGCGTTGAAACGATGATTCCGCTTCACAGTGCTGTTGCTTCAGCTCGGCTCCGGTCAAGTATCGCTTCTGATTCCTCTTGTTGGAGCATGCTCTCCGAGGGTAACTATTCTATCTCTTTTTACTTTGTTTTGTGTGTTCTTTAAATTTGCTGCCTTATTGCTAGTTTTTGTTTTGTCTCTGCTTCATCACTTGTTTTGTAATTAAAAGTCAACTTTGGAGGTTTATTGATTAGTAAGCTGGAATCTAGTTCATGAGATAGGGTTGAAACTATTAGATGACAATCTTTTGGAGGAAATGGGATTAAATCTCTTAATAGATGATGATATGGTTTAATAAGAAAAAACATGATAAAAAAAAAGATGAAAACTTTCACCTATTTTTGAAGGATTTTTTTTTAATATATTTTTGGTAAAATTTGAAAGAAAAAAAAAAAGGATGAAAACTTTGACATATTTTTGATAAGGGGTTATTTGTGAAATAGCCACAAACAAAAACAAAATTAGTTTTGTAAGAGAGAGAGTAGAGAGAGATAGGAAGAAAGAGGGGGAGAGAGAATGAGATTTTGGCTAGATTATTAATTTTGGTTTTTTTCATAGCTAATGCATCCAATTTCCCAAAATCAAAATCATGTTTTTTGTTGAGATATATGGTTTGGTCTTAGATTCTTCATGTGCTTGTGTTATGTCCTAAATCTTTACTTTTCTGACTTGTGTTTTTCTACTAAATGCAATAGGATTTGCCACGCCTTTGTGACCCCGGTCTGCTGGATTCTGTATAAGGCGAAAAAATAATCAAAATTATTAGGACTTGCTTTCAGACATATGAATGAACAAGGATACTACTTTTCCCTGGTTTGAACTCTTTCGTTCATGTATTGTTATAGTTCAGAAGAAATGTTTGCTTCAGAGTTTTACTTATCTTTCTGTTGCTATTTGTATTCACACATTTTGGGGCTTTTCCTGCGTTGGAACTCAGTTTGTCCTCTCTTCTCTTCGTGTGTCAAGCTCAGTATTCACCAAATCACAATGCACAAGCTGCTTTTAGACTACTTACTACTTGATGTTAAGTTATAGGGCCGGTTTGGTCCGGTTTAGGACCACTAATCATCATTTTGTAAGCATTATAAATTAGACATCGTTATTGTATTCTAATGAACATAAACAAACTTAAAACCGCCCCAACCAATAATTGTGAACCCAAGCTTTCTTGTAGTCTACTCTTTATACCCGTTTGTTAGTGATAATGATGTAAGAAGCATAACTACAAACATAACCATTTCTTTTTCTTCTGGTCCACCAACTATGTAACTACAGTATTGGTGTACTAGAAAACAGGAATAATATACCAAAAATATACGATTGCCCCAAACTCACCAGACGAACTATATATATGCGACTGTGAATGTCTATATAATAGCTCATGTTCCTTATGTAATAAATCGAACGAGATAAAGTAATAAAGAGAAGTTCAAATACAAAAAAAAAGGATAGCGATATGGGGAACTGTGGATTAAATCCAAAAGTTTTGTCAGAAGCCGGAGCTCCGGCGCCAGAGGAGCTTAATATTTCACTAGAAGATCCGAAGATTGACGCTGCAAAATCTCTTATCAATTTGTTCCTTCAAGTAACTCTCTAAAAGTTTTTTTGTTACTTAACTCTCTAAAAGTTTATAACACAAAAACATAATGTAATAGCTTTTTGGGGTGTTATATTCTTAATTATATTATGTGATTTGTTGGTTAATAGGACAAGGCAGATAAGACTATGAAAGAGGACTTGAAGACAACACCGGAAAAGATACCGGTTACTGAAGATCTGATAACAGCTTTCGCTGACACAAAAACTCCAGTACTGATGGGGCCAAAAGCTCCAGTTATGCGTTTGCGGTCTTGATCACAGTACGCTTTTTTTTCGTTTACCTTAATGTTTGTTTTGGATTTTTTGTTTACTTGCGAGTTAGTTCTCATACCGAACTGCAAACACTAGATTTGTCATATGAATCGACACGCATATTTTCCTAACACACTGTCACTGATAGTGATCACTATTTCATTTGAAACGCTAGTTTCTGCGTTTTGCGTCTCAAAACCACATGCGTCGATGGGCTCTGTACAACACTTTTAGAAAATGCATGCATCAATGGGCTACATCAAAGATGAGCGGTAAAGACCCGGATCCGGATTTCAAGCATTTAATTGGGAGACACCAACCTTTTAAGAGGGCCACCAAACTCTCTAGCCTTCAACCTATCAATTTATACATGTCGAGGACAGCCAATACCATTTAATCACATGTACATAAAGTTGGTGTAAGTTATAAACGCGGCCACTTCTAACCACCACCGGTTCATGAACCACATAAATGATAGATACTATAAGGAAATCATATTATTATTATTTTTAAATAGTAATGTTTTAGTGAAAACTGAAAAGAATAGATTTGCACAGTTACGAATCAAAACGTAAATCTGTTCTAATTTCTTTAATACTAAGGAATTTTTAACTTGGGATATATCCCAAAATGGCATATTATTATGAAAAAGTTTACTCTCTCCAGTCACTTTTTGACTTTCTTACTATATATACAATGAAATAGAATAACCGTCCTAATTTCATGGAATCTGTTTTTGTTTTAAGTAGAGGAAACAAATATATAGTTTTCTGAATATACTGATGAAAGCAATAAAAGAGTTTATTAATAGCTCGAGCTACTCACCTCTCCTCTGTAAGTTGCCCATATATGCACCAGCCCCATGAGATAACCACACAAACATAAAACCAATCTCTCACTCACTCGCTCGCTCAGACACATAACCAAATGGCTAAAACTCCAGAAACAGAGCATCCGAACAAAGCCTTTGGTTGGGCTGCCAGAGATAAAACTGGCCTTCTCTCCCCTTTCCATTTCTCCAGAAGGTTCTCATGATTACACTTATTTTTTTTGTCTCATTTACAAAAACTTTGGTGTTTATAATAGAGTTTGATGTTTAATCTTCAGAGACAATGGAGAAAATGATGTGACAGTGAAGATCTTGTACTGTGGAGTGTGCCACAGTGATTTACATACCATCAAAAACGACTGGGGTTTCTCCTATTATCCTGTCGTTCCAGGGTAATCAAAAACTAAACTAAAACAAAATATCTCCTATTTTACAAAATAATTTTATTATATAACAAAACATTTTTATATATGGCTCAGGCATGAAATAGTTGGAATAGCTACAAAAGTTGGCAAAAACGTGACAAAATTCAGAGAAGGAGACCGTGTAGGAGTAGGAGTCATCACCGGTTCTTGCCAGTCTTGCGAATCTTGTGACCAAGATCTTGAAAACTACTGTCCCCAAATGTCTTTCACCTACAACTCCATTGGAGCAGATGGAACCAAGACATACGGTGGATATTCAGAGTCCATCGTGGTCGATCAACGTTTTGTTTTGCTGTTTCCAGAGGGCTTACCAAGCGACTCAGGTGCTCCCTTGCTGTGTGCTGGTATCACTGTCTATAGTCCAATGAAGTATTATGGTATGACCGAGCCAGGGAAGCATTTGGGTGTTGCTGGACTTGGTGGGCTTGGTCATGTTGCTGTTAAGATTGGTAAAGCCTTTGGTTTGAAAGTTACTGTGATTAGTTCTTCTCCTAGTAAAGAAGATGAAGCTATTAATAGACTTGGTGCTGATTCGTTTCTTGTCTCATCTGATTCACAGAAAATGAAGGTAACAACAAATAGTTCTATTTAATCTATTGTTTTGGTCCGAACCGGTTCAACCGTGTCCAAATAAATTTTTTGTTTTGTTTTGCTTTGTTTGTGTGGAAATTTTAGGCTGCAGTTGCAACTATGGACTATATTATCGACACAGTTTCAGCAGTACATGCTTTGTTTCCATTGCTCGGTTTACTCAAAGTCAATGGAAAACTCGTCACTTTAGGCTTACCTGAGAAGCCTCTTGAGCTACCAATCTTCCCTCTTGTTCTCGGTAAAACAAAACCCTAGAAAATTCCTCTACAAACTCTTGTTTCTTGTCACAAGTCAAAACCCTGACTTAATTACTGTTTTACAGGAAGGAAAATGGTGGGAGGAAGTGACATTGGAGGGATGAAGGAGACACAAGAGATGCTCGACTTCTGCGCTAAGCATAACATAACTGCAGATATTGAGTTAATTAAGATGGATGAGATTAACACTGCAATGGAGAGGCTTGCTAAGTCTGATGTTAGGTACAGGTTCGTGATCGACGTGGCTAACTCCTTGAGCCCTCCTCCATGACTTAGTCGAATCTAAGAGTTGACCCTTGAGAAGCTTGTATCTTGTTGTTATGTTGTTTCAGTTTCTACTTTTATGTTTAACGAACTGTTTTCTTGTGGAACAAGTCACCTAATCATCAGAGAACTTTACTCTATGTTTTATTTTCATGGTCTGGATTATATTAAGATAATAATAAAATCTTTCTGATTAGAGAAAAATTATTGATCAATCTTTTATTTGGTAATAGATAAAAGGATGTAAAAATATAAAATCACAAAATCATTTAAAATATTAATCAAGCTTTATTGGGAGAAGCAGCTGGTGAAGAGGCGGTGGAGTTTGGATCGTGGCAAAAGCCACGGAGGACGTTAGCTTCTTCAGATGTAAAGCCGAGAGAAGTGAGCATCGCAGGCCAACAATTAGTTGTAATAACGTCGACAGCTTCGCAACAACTAACACCGAGTTTGGTTTCACCGTTGAGGAAGAAGAGAACGATCTCGTTAGTGCATGACTTAAGCTCGTACAAGGCGTTCCAACACTCCATGAGTCCTCCGCTTTGGAGCCTCGCCGCTATGTTGGTTGACTCCGATGGAAGATCTCTGCCTGAGACGGTGGTGTGTTGGAGCAGGAGGAGGAGGCCAAGAAGTGCCACGGTGGCGAAGAGGAAAGTGGTGTTTGAAGCCATTTTTTGGTTGGTGTGGGTTTGGTTTTGGTTTTGGTGAGTTTCGTGTGTTGTGTGATGAGATTGGCTAGTGATGATGGTTCGTATTTATACTAATTTTCATGGGTTAGTGGTGATTAAGAATAATTAAAAGGTTTATTAGTGGGGGAGGTGGATGATCAAGAGTAAATGATTACTGGTAAATTGTGATTAATAGTATTAAAAACAAGGTTAGTGAAGCGTATTACGGCTTCGGTGAAGAAGAGTAACGGATGATTAAAAACGAAAGGGTTTATTTTGGGATATCAAGTTTTATATCGACATGACAAACAACAAGTGGCTGTAGTTTAGTGGTGAGAATTCCACGTTGTGGCCGTGGAGACCTGGGCTCGAATCCCAGCAGCCACACTATAATTTTTTTATGCGCGTGACAATTTGCGCAAGTTTTAGATTGACCTCGAAAGCTTACTATACTTTGCTTAGCTTTGAATCGACCTCCTTTGCACTTTATTTAGAGAAAGCCCACTATATTTTGCTACGCCTTTTTCTAAAGCTCTCTTGGACTATTTTTCGAGGTATTTTGGGCTTTCCTGAAGTCAATAAAGCCCATTACAAATAAATTGCTAAAAGCATCTCGATTGTTCTATCGGTGCACCGAACAAACATACCAAAAGAGGAAAAAATGAAAAGGATCGGGTAGAATCTCCTTAAACCCTAATAATCGGACGCTCCTCCTCTCTTCTTATATAAAAACGTCTCATCCTCACAATTATCTTTCAGACCATTCAATCAGTTCATCTCATCAGTTTTCGTAAAACCTTTTTGTTCTATACAGTTCTTGTATGTTTTAGCTGAATTTTGTTTTGCTAGTCCTAATAGAATTGAACAAAGTCTTAGCTGTCTGAATTGGTTAACTTGAATTCTTTTGTATTTGGTCGATGATGATAAGCATTAAGGCTTGTTTCTCAAAACATTCGCAGTGGCCGCCTAAAGCTTTCGCCTTTCGCCGGGCTTGAGAGCTAATGCTGCTCCTATCCTTCCTTGGATGTCTGAGATCTCTTTTTTCCTTACTGGTTTCTCTGTTTTGCTTTTGCTTTTGTATATTATCTTCTTTTTATCTTGTTACTATCATATCCTTAACAGCATTATCTGGCCAAACTATTTCACATTTCTCTAACCAAACCGAAATTAGATTGGTTCATTCCAAAAGATAATGCTATATAGTTTTGTATTATGAATCTATGATATAATATTTTGTTGATTATGTAACTGAAACTTTCCATGAAAAGAGAAACAGTTCACATGGAAAACGTTGAATAACGACAATAAGGCTGAGTAACGGAACTACCAAACACATAAACTTTTGTTTGAAAAAGTTCATAATTAAGAACAAAAGTCTCTTTTTTTTTGGTGACAAACACCATAATTTATTAATTCAAGTGAAAAAGTTAGCCTTTGAAGTTAACCTTGTTGAAATCAAAGAGTTTACTTGGACGAAAATAGAGTTTTGTGATGGACCTTCTTTTCCAAGAAGATCGGCTCTTACATTACATTGCGCTCTCTACTTATATAAGAAAGTTCTTTTTTTTTGTAAAACATATAAGAAAGTTCAAAACTAGTAAAAGAGGGAAGTAAATGGATGAGTTTTTTTTATGTTAATGCCACATAGGATTGTTTCAAATTTTAGCATTTTTATTGGAAGAGTTTCAATGAAAACAAGTTTCAAACACCTCCATTATGGATAATTTTAGACCTTATCACCAGTTGAATATTTGTATTCTTTGAACGTATAATTTGATTAGAAAAAAATGTTGGACAGTTTCAACAGCTGATTTTTTTTTTTTGTTGACTAACTTCGCCACATAGCACAATTAGAATAGAAAATATTATTGGACAATTTATTATTTTATTTTCACCAAATAATTTAAATTTATTTATTTTATAAGAGATTTTTTTTTAACCAAGTTGTTTTGGTCTAATGGTAAAAGAGTTCCAGCTGGAGTGCCCGCCCTTGGGTTCGAGCTTTGGCCACTCCGGAATTTACATATGGGTTGCAGCATCCGAGACCGAAGACCGTTATAAGTGAGTCACATGGTGACTTTCTGGCAGTGTCTTTACTCGCTTCGATCTCTAATCTGGATCACTTCGGTGGGATCAAGATACTCGGTTAGAAAAAAAAAATTTATGATTTTTTTATGAGTTATAAATAAAGACTATTCTAATTTCATTCGGATAAAAAAACTTATTTTTATTATAATCAACTATTTTAGAGTTTTAAATTTTTTTAAATGGATCCTAATTAATATAACTTTTTTTTTAAAATGTCATTAACCATATGATATAACAACAAAGTTTTTCCAAGACTGTTTTATTCTATGTCAAGCACATGGAGTCAGGTCACCATGTTAATCGCCGGGTTTTACGGTTCTTCTGACGTCTCTATAAACAATACGACAAAAGACCGACGTGGAAAATAAAGGTAGGGAACGGGGTTGCACACGTGTAAAGCTCAGTTTAACAGGTCGTTGCGTGTGGAGATAACCGAAACGGGAAAGTCTGCCTACGTGTGTGCGTGTTGTAGTGCTAAACGGGGACCTCTCCTCGCACGTGCCCCTGTTATTTGACGTATGATTGTTTTGTTCTGTGGTATTTTAATGGAAGCCCAGACGAACTTTCCCATGTTAATGTACTCACGGTTAAACCAAGTCAACTCTGTAGTGATCTAGCATTACTTGGAAGCATATGTATATATCATATATGTTTCTTGGAGACGATAAAATATTTGTATTCTTTGAACGTATAATTTGATTACCTGCAGTGCATTCTCTTGACTATGGGGTTGGGATCCTGATATAATTCTGATACACGATTCAAACTGGCCTAACAATTAGGTGTTACATGATTTTGCTGAAACAGCTAGAATATTAATTAAAATTTATTTGCAAGGACACTCTCCATTGACCAACAAAACTTTCAGTTATACCACGTGCAGCAAGTATTCATTTGCAGCAAAAAAAAAAATAGTTATGATTTATTTCTTAGAGTACCTCCAATGGGGTATCTACCCATTGGAGTTCTAAAAAGATATATATATATATAGATATGGAGTACACTAAATAGTGTAGAATCGGTTCTTACATATATTTAAGTTTATGATCTCTATAATATTATTTGAGAAGTCAGTTTCCTATGTGTCGCTCTCACGTTCGTTCTCACGATGGTTGATTACATTGATACCCTTAATGAATTAAAATAGTTAAAATAGTATTATTAATTCTTTTATTTAGTTTCCTTTTCAAAAATTTCTAAAAGATATATGTAATAAAAAGGAAATTTTTATAAAGTCATTAAAAAATATTGAAAACGAAAAATATATGTATATATAATATGATTTCATAAAAAAAGGAAAGTTCACAAAATAGTAATAATACATTTAAAAATATTTATAAAATAACATAAAATATACTTTTAGAGTAATAAAAATATTTTATAATTAGTATTATTGAATTTTTTTATTTTTTCATATATTTAGTTGACTATAATATCTTTCAGTTACAGAAAATTATCTATAAATTATATTTTACATATATAATATTATTTTCAAATACAATCACAATTTTATGTAGTGCTTATTTTTAAGAGATATTAAAAAAATTAACAATAAACATCGTTTGATCAAATAATTTTATCATTATTAAAATTATTTTTTCTTAATATTCAATTTTATTTTAAATTTTAAATTTTTATGTTTGTGAAACTAAATATAACCATAATCAAAATACCAAAGAAAATATGAATTTTCCAATTTTAAGATTATTTAAAATAAATTTCAGTTTACATTCAATAAATCTAAAGCATAAAGTTATTTAGAATTTATAAATATTTTCATTATTGTAAATATTGATATGTGTTCATGAGGTTCCAAAAATATATCAACTACTTATGCATGTAGCCTTTTATTGATCAAAGGATAACACAAAACATATTAACAAATGAAAATAAATATTAACCAACTCTTACAATTTTAGTTCTTTTGTAAAATTTATATATATGCATGAGACTTTAGAATATTGTTGTTATATTAAATTACGTATTTTGGAATCAGACACTTAAATTAATTGTTAATTCATTATAAGCACAATATATCTTAAGTTATACATAATTTTACTAAAATATATTTACATATCTAAGACAACACCACTATATGCAAATATGTAACTAATAAAAAAATAATAAATTTTAAAATATTACAGTCGAATTCAGAGATGCAATCCAATTTATCCAAATAATAACTAAATCAACCGTAAAAACAACAAAATCGACTAGATATAACATATATAAAATTAAAGTATAATTAAAGGAATATAATATTATCAATATAAATGATACATACAAATTATAAATTAATTGAAAATTAAAACTAAATAGTAATCAATTATTATCATATATTTACTTTAAAAATATTTATACCCGTGCATGAGCACGGGAAAATCACCTAGTAAATTAATATATATGTAGAATGAGTTTACAAATTTTAAATACCACTATATATGTAGAATGAATTTACAAATTTTAGATAAATCAAAAATATGGTAATCCTATTAAATGCATAGTTGCATCGTGTATGCATGATGATTTTCAAAGAAATTTGAAACATTTTCTTCCTTTGTTTCTCTAGAGAACTGAGATTTCATAGATGTTAGTCTAGTGATTTAGATAGTATATTAAATTTAATTAAAGCAATTGTTAAAAAAATAAAAAGGAAAACCATGATGAAAAATAGTTTATGATAAACGAATATATATGTAGAATGAGTTTATAAATTTTACCGCTAAAAAGTATAAACTTCAATTCACTGGAAATCTTTCTAACCTACACTTTTTACAAAACAAATTCCAAACAATAAAAATATTTTTAATGAATAATTGGATAATTCAATGACATATAGTGATGTTCAACTATGTGTGGAATCTTATTCTCTTTGTTTCTCTAGAGAATATAAATTTCACAGTGGTTAGATCATTGATTCAGGCGGTATATGAAGTTTTATTAAATTAATTGTTACAAA